CACAGTCAGCAGGGAGGATGTGGAAACTATTTAAGGCATCGTAAATCACAGTTGCCCAAAAAAGGAAAGTTATGCCATTTTGATGACTTCATACCATGTCTCAGGTTTCTTTTTGGTCTGGTGATACCCAGATTCTGGGTGTCAAAAGAGCTGATTGTCTCATCTAGTGGATGACAGACTGCTGGGAAATTAACTTTAACAGGCATTTCCTTAAGTTTCTAACATATGCACAATAACTGTCCTGGTACAGTGCTTATGTGAGTTTCCCCACCTTATTATATTTGACTGCGAATTTCTAAGGGAGCCTAGTGAAGTGAAGGCGGTAGTGGGGGACTATGCTCTTTTCATCATCCTACTGGAAATCCCACATGTGGATTCTTTATAAATTGCTGAAATAGAGGTTTCTGGTTGCCCCCCTACCCCAGGCTGCTCTTTCTTTAGAGAAGAACACTAATTCTGAACTGGGAACACTGCTGGCAATAAATCATGTTTCCCACTTTCCTTTGAAGTATGGTTTGGCCACGTGATTAAGGTCTTATCAATGAGATGCAAGAGAGAGAATTAGGGTTGAAAGAGTTTCCAAGAAGGTTGACTCTTTTTTTTTTTTTTTTTTTTGAGACAGAGTCTTGCTCTGTCGCCAGGCTCCAGGCTGGAGTGCAGTGGCACAATCTCGGCAGTGAGTCAACCCAGTTAAAAAGACCCTTTTCTGTCCATTTTCCTTTGCCTGCAATGCTGATGCAATGACTGGCACTCCGGAAGCCATGTTGATCTATGAGGATGTAAACCCTCCATTCACATGGTGTTGAATGAAGAAAAGTGCCTGGGACCCTAATGATACTGGGGAGCTGCCAGCCCTGTCCAGCCTACCTCCAGCTTCTTTTATGTGAGAAAGAATAAACTTCTGTCCTGTTTGAGATATTCCTATTTGTTTTAGAAAACACTCTAACCTAACCCTAACAAATACAGTTTGAGATGTGTTTATTGATGCTACTCTGTTCTAATCCTCAGTGTGCCGTTATGATTTAATCACATCTGTCTATATTTGAAATGTTAATTACCTTTTATTTATAGCATCTCATGTTATTACTTAAAACCTACTTAAGGCCAGGCATGGTGGCTCACTTCTGTAATCCCAGCACATTGGGAGGCCAAGGCAGGTGCATTCCTTGGGCTGAGGAGATCGAGACCAGCCTGGGCAACACGGCGAAACTCCGTCTCTACTATATATACAAAAATAAGCCAGGAGTGGTGGTGCACGCCTCTACTCCTAGCTGCTTGGGTGGCTGAGGTAGGAGAATCACTTGAACCCAAGAGGCAGAGGCTGCAGTGAGCCAAAAATTTGTTTTAAAATGAAACATGTTATTTACAAAAAATGTAAAATCACTGTTACAATGAACAAATAGATAATTATGAAAGTAGATTAAATTTAGCTACGTACTCTTGCCTATCTACAACGTGTTAGCTAAGGATGGAAGTTGTAAAGACATACTAGCCTTACGAGAGATGCACTTCTCTTCAATCAGACCTTGCTGGAGAACTTAAATAAATGTAAGTCTCTGTCATTCAAGCATATTTCACCTCACTTCTGTGTAACACCTAAAAGCATCTACATATCAACTATGGTAAGCTTTGGGAAACACTCAGCTATTCAGAGAACTACAAGGGAATGAAAATATGGAGGTTTTGTTTCCTATTTATCTAAGTTGACAAAGGAGTATAGTGAGCAAGAGTCTCAAAATGCAAAATGCAATTTGATGGACGGAGCATGACCAGTTATCCTGCAAGGCAATGCTTAGTCATGGCAGATCTGAGAGCTGTGGTAACATTCACATGTTCATTCTGTTATGATCAGATTCTCAGCAACCTAACTTCTTCAAGCAGGGAAGGGTGCGTTTCAACTTAGGTAAGAGATCTTCACTCACTCCCGGTGAGCTGATCATTAGCACAAAAGTGTCTCCTTAATCCATAAAATTAAACCTGTCACAGTGACTTAACTTCATTAACGCAGCTTCCTGATCCATGCCAAATTATTAGCAATACAAAAATCTATGACTCTCAAGCTAATTAAGACTGCTTCTTTTGCATGATGATGATCAGATTCTGACTTTTAAGAATAACTGGAAAACACTCAAAGAGGGTAGGAGGAAATGATAAAGCAGAACAGCTTCTGAAGCAAAACCTACTAATACGATTAAGACATCTACTCTCTAACACATTTTCTAATTATCCTTAAGAAAAGCACCTCTCATCCCAGTCCATCACTATCTGAAATAATGGAGCATGGTTTTTCTGTGTTTAATTCTCCAAAGGCAGAAGTAAAACAAAAAGTTTTAAAGTGAGGATAAGAGTTGTATATATGAATAAATGTATCTTATTTTTAAAATTTCTATTTTAGCTGCAGATGTCTTATGTGATAGGTAATACAAGCACACAGCAAAAAAAAAAAAAAAAATTAAACAGTTGAAATGGTTCACTGGAAAAAGTAATTCACATTCAGCCTTTTCCCCCAGTTTCCCAGTTCTCTCCAGCAGAAATCCCAGTTGCCAGTCGTTTGTGTAGACTTCTGGGGACATAGTCTGCTCACAAAAGTACCTTTCTCAGGGTTCCCCAAATGCAGGCTCATTATATATGCAGCTGCGCACCTTACTTTTTGAACAAGTACACAGAAAACCACTAAATATGTGTGCATACAGATTTGTATCACAATACATATATACTAGAGATATGATCTAATTCTAGAACAAATTAACAAATTAAACCAATATTTAGAGACAGCCCAATGTGTGCCAGACACCTCTGTACAGAGACCTGCTCCTGAAACGGCGAGACTTCCGTTCTAGAGCGTCGTCATTAAGCAAAGCCTTCCTAGCTGCTGCGTAAAATCCCGACCGACGTCAACACATTTGTGTATCAACAAAACACCCATAAAATGTACATATGTACATGCGTGCATTTTCATACCTATATCGCATTTATAGGTACTATATGAATATATAATGGCATGTAGAATATCTACATGCATATATAATACACACACGCAACATATTGCGTGTGTACCTGTATGTGTATAAGCTTTTTCCATCACCCAGACCCATGGTATGAGGAAGCATATCCTGGCCTACAGAACGCAAGAAGAAAAAAGAAAAAAGGAAACAAAAAACTGGCATCAGAATCTACAAAGAGACAAGGAACAGTCTTCATTTAGAATGAAGAATTAGGGCTTTTAAAAGAAGAGCCTGATAGTCTATTCAGGGCACCTGTTTCTTAAAAGAAGACACTGACACAGATGAAAGAAAACTAAATGGCAAGAACCAAGCATTTGTGCATTTGGATGTGCTCTGGATGTGCTGAGGCTCTGGAAGCCCCTGGAACTATAAAAAGGCAGCTTACGCTTCCGTGGGGAGGAGCCAGCATTGGGCCAGCCATGCCATCTCTCCATGTCCAAGATGAACTGAACTATTTGTCAGAAATGAATGATAAAAAAGGAAAAAACATTTTCTAATGCTTCAAATCCCTCGGCTTCTCATAGACAAGACTACAACTACTGCTTCTACTGACACATAAAAATAGATGGCAAAAAAAATCACAAGAGAAAATAAAAGTTCATTAGTTGAGATTCTTTCCCCAAATGTATTCTTTTCTTTTGATAAGAACATCTATTCATCCACCCTCTCATCCTCCTACCCACGCATCCCTTCATTTGCCCATTAATCTATCCATTCATCCATCCATCCCCCCATCCGTCCGCCCATGTGTCCATCTATCCCAATTTTTGCTAACCACAAAACACAAAGGAAATCTTTTATTAAGATGGCACCTTCTTTCCAAATTATATTAGTGGTACAGACGTGTTTGCGTGTGTGTATCTGTAAGTTCATCCAGCTCACCAGGGTGGCACACACATATCACTACATAAACATCTAGGGCTGCACTCAAACAGATTTTCTCTTTTCCCTCTCATTTGCTCTACAAGCAAATCTTCAAGAAGTAAAAAGGAAAGTGCGGAACCAGAGCTGCCGATAATCCAAATTCTAAAACCAATGCTGAGCAAAGTAGAGAAAAGAACCCAAATGAAATCATCCCCACATTGGTTTCAAGCGCTCCTTGGTAATAAGCCAAAAAAATCATAATAGCTATCAGCTGAGATTCATGAGATCCCTGCTAGAATAAATAATGAAAAATCAGGATATTTTCCAAACACTGAGGTATGAAGTTTAAAAATGCACCTCAGACATAATGCATGGCATACCGGAATTCACCCTTTCATTATGGTTGACATTTTAGCAGCACCATCAGCAAAAAGCAACCTACAGGTAACAAAAATATGGCACCAGACTAGGAAATCCCCAGAGCCACAGAGGAGATTTCAGGAAAGTGAAATAAAACAAGAACTACTGAGTTTCCAAGCCTCTCTCTGCCCAGCTGTGAATTGATTGTTTCTAATTTGGTGCCTATCAGAGATGGAGTCAAGTTTTAATTTCTCCCTAGAGTGATCCACAATTCCCTGCAATTCTACCACAGACAGTTCACTGTACCATCAGAAAATGCCTGTCCATGAATACAATCATATGCATCATATTTAAGTAAACACTGCAAACGTGGAATGCACCCGTGTAAAAAGAGACGTAGAGACTCTGGTTTCTAACACTTGCAAAATGGGCCATTCCGTGAGACAGGCAGACTTTCAATTCGTCTAATAACATGGATTAGAGAGAGGTCATGTTGAAGAGGAACACCATTTGTGGGTAAATTCCATCCGCACGCTGCAGTCCTTGCAGGTGATACGGTGCTCTGCTGGGGTCTTAAGTAGGTCCGCTGTGAATAACAGCCCACCTTTCCCAAATGAAGGATTCCATTCATCTTACCTGGAGGCCCTGACAGCATATACTACACACACCAAATGCAAACCACCGTGGAAATGCTTGTGAGCAATCTAAGAAAACAAAATGAGGCCACGTTTGCAGCTGATCTGAACATGTCGGGCACCAGTTGGGACTCACCTGTTTTCCAAGCCAGCCGATTTCTTCTGACAAAGGATGACAGCTGGTGCATACTTCCCAGTATAATCCGTGCGCTCCTTGACATCCCAAATGGAAGGGCTGCTGGCTCGCACGCCAATGATGTTCACGCCTTTCTTCACCTTCGCCCTGTGGGAGACAGTAAGTGTGGGTCTGAGTCAGCTCTAGGGAATCCCCGGGTCATGCCGGTTCTGGGAACATGGGGAGCGCTGCCTTGCAGGTGTAAGCTTACAAATGTGCAGTAGCTTTCCAATCCATCTGCCCTATTTTGTTCAGTGATTCCTACCTTTAATAAAGAGCTAAGGTATGCTGACAGCCAGCAAACATTAGATACACAAAGAAATAGAGTATCGTTGCACCAGCTTGTATCTTTAAATAAAGCCAGAGTCAAACAGAAACACACCAGCATCTGGAGACCTTCGCCTGGCAACACGGAATCGAAAAAGGCAATGAACTTGAAGTGCAAACGCCAAGATTGTAGGAAGAACGCACATTCACTGAATGACTGCCAGTGTCAGGCGCGGAGGGACGTTTGTCTATATTATCTAACCTTCCCAGCAAGGTTCCCAGCTTAAAATGAGGACGCCGAGGTTCAGACAGGGTGGGGATTAATGACGGCCGCAAGTGATCCACCCGCCTCGGCCTCCCAAGGAGGGAGCTGCCACGCCCAGCCCCATTTCCATTTTACAGTCTTGTCCTCTTACTGTATGATTTATTTTCCTTATGTTCCTTCCAATTCAAGTTTCTAAAAGAAACGTAGAATAATGAAATCCCGTGTCTACTAAAAATACAAACATTATTTGGTGGTGTGCCCCTGTAGTCCTAGCTACTCAGGAGGCTGAGGTGGGAAGATCACTTGAGCCTGGGAGGCGAAGGCTGCAGTGAGCCAGGATTGACACACAGCACTCCAGCCTGGGCGACAGAGTGAGAGCCTGTCTCAAAAGTAAAATAATAATAAATAAAATAGAAAATAAATTCAAACAGTTTGATTTTGATTTACAAGCTGGCCTAGAAGTTTGAAAAAAAAAATGTTTCCTACTCTGTTTTTTTTTTCTTAGTCCTTCAGTGGAAAATAGGAAAAGTCTTGAAGTGGAAGGACCAAGAGGAACCTGGAGCACTTTGCCGGTGCCTGGGCAGAAGAGGGTGGTGGGAGTGGCCGGCTTGGAGTGACTCCAGACTTGTAATCACTGTGCCTATGCAAACATGCAGGCAAGGCAACGGAGCCAGAGCCTACGCCTCAAAATCCCTCTCTGCTGTGCTACAGGAGAAAGTGAAACCGCCACCTGCTATTAATATCAGGGACAGGTCAGGCGCGGTGGCTCATGCCTGTAATCTCAGCATTCTCGGGGGCCGAGGTGGGCAGATAACCTGAGGTTGGGGGTTGCAGACCAGCCTGACCAACATGGAGAAATCTCATCTCTACTAAAAATTGAAAATTAGCTGGGCGTGGTGGCCCATGCCTGTAATTCTAGCTACTCCGGAGGCTGGGGCAGGAGAATCACTTGAACATGGGAGGCAGAGGTTGAGGTGAGCCGAGATTGCCCTATTGCACTCCAGCCTGAACAATGACAGCAAAACCATGAGTGTGTATGTGTGTCTACATATATATGTGTATAGATATTTATATACATATATACATATAAATACATATACATATATACGATTAGGAGAAGATGACACTCACAGGACCAGGGCTTTAAGAAAGAGCAGGACATATCTGTCCCTAACACCAAGAACACTCTTTCCCATGGAAACAATTTGAAAACCTAGTGTGCAGAAAAGAGATGAGGCCGCAGGCTTCAGAGTGCCCTCCTTAGGAAAGCCTGCTTGCAAGGGTGTCTGGGAACCTGAATTTTGGGGATGTTTCCTCCCATTTCATGGTCAGAGGGGCTCATGGTGCCTAGATTGTGCAAACCACATGGTTTATGCTGGACACCTGTTTGTCTTCTGGGAGTGTGTAATGTTGGTACGTACCAGGCAGAGGGGGCCCCTATGAGCAGTTCCCAGTGAAAACCTTGAACTCCTGAGCTCAGGTGAGCTGCCCTGGCAATACTGTCACAGCTATTTGCTGGAGGAATTGGAGGAATTAAGTGCGTCCCGTGTGACTCCATGGGGAGAGGATTCCTGGGAGCATGGTCTCCCCTCTGTGCCTTTTCCCTCTGCAGACTGTGCTGGGTGTTCCTTGGCTAATGCATCGTAGCAGTGATTCTGACCACATGCTGAGTCCCGTGAGTTCTAGTGACTCGTTAGACCTGGGGGTGGTCTTAGGAACCCCCAGCACACACAGTGACTTGGCTAGTCCACAAAGAGAGAAAGAATTGCTTCTGAGGTGGTGGTCCTAGTGAAAAAGTTAGCATTTTTAGAAAATGATCATCATGTGTAACGTTATTTCTAAGGGGGGAAAAATACATGTTTATGTTTAAATAATCATTGTATGTTTAAAAAATCATTTGAACACAGTCATTTATAAATTGGGAATTGCATGCAGATGCCAAAAAGCTATCTGACCTTTCTGGATATTCAGGTGAGACACTCAGCAAATAGATACAATTCCTGCCTTGCAGAAACTCATTCAAATTGTAGGCAACAAAGATGCGGCCGCAAACACGTGTCCAGTCCGCTGCAGACAGTTCCTTTATGTTAAGATGAATTCTACGGCCGGGCGCAGTGGCTCAAGCCTATAGTCCCAGCACTCTGGGAGGCCGAGGCGGGTGGATCACTAGGTCAAGAGATCGAGATCATCCTCGTCAACATGGTGAAACCCCATCTCTACTAAAAATACAAAAAATTAGCTGGGCATGGTGGCGCATGCCTGTAATCCCAGCTACTCAGGAGGCTGAGGCAGGAAGAATTGTTTGAACTCAGGAAGTGGAGGTTGCGGTGAGCTGAGATCGCGCCATTGCACTCCAGCCTGGGTAACAAGAGCGAAACTCCGTCTCAAAAAAAAAAAAGAAAAAAAAGCTGAATTCTAAAGGCTGTCCCAATTACAGTGCAGTGGAATTTCATTGAATCTACATTGCTTTAAATAAATAGGTCATCAACCTGGCTGTGACAACCTTTTCATTATACAGGAGATATCAGTACAGAGGCCTTTTCTGATATATAATGGGCTTATATTTTTCTGAAATTGTATTCATAAGTGGGCTATTTGGAATTCAGATGATGCTTCTCCAATGAATCCTTTTCAAGTTCTTAAGAAAGGACACAGTGGCTTGTTTAACTCGTGAGGTATCCAACATTTACTGCTAATAATTCTGTAGCTACATGAAGCTATTATCTGTAGCATATTTCTGTGAAAACGTTTTTTCCTAGAAATTTATACAGGACCCTGGGAATTGTCTTTCATAGACGCAGAACACTTTCTTTTTTTTTTTTTTTTGAGACGGAGTTTCGCCCTTGTTACCCAGGCTGGAGTGCAATGGCGCGATCTCGGCTCACCGCAACCTCCGCCTCCTGGGTTCAGGCAATTCTCCTGCCTCAGCCTCCTGAGTAACTGGGATTACAGGCATGTGCCACCGTGCCCAGCTAATTTTTTGTATTTTTGGTAGAGACGGGGTCTCACCATGTTGACCAGGATGGTCTCGATCTCTTAACCTCGTGATCCACCCACCTTGGCCTCCCAAAGTGCTGGGATTACAGGCTTGAGCCACCATGCCCGGCCCCAACACTTTCATAACAGAAGACACATTTCTAGGGCATGCGTTAGGTGTTCGGAATTGGGGAAGGCATACCCACTCAAGAGGTATCCTTGTGTGTGAACATCAAGTGAAATGTAAGCAATAAACTGAATAGTCATTCTTTGGAGATGTGGACACAGTGTTTACTGAATACGGTGTGTGTTGGGTTAATAATTTTGAAGCACTGGTCTCAGGAGCTGTCAGTGGCACCGTTTGGAACCGTTAAGGCAGTTCCAGAGAGTATGCCGCTGGGCTCCGCTGGATCTGGAGCAAATGCTGATGACTCCCTTTGTTTATGACAACTGAGTTACTTACATTCATTAATGCAAGTTTTATAACCTACTTGTGGTTCAATAAATACAGGTTACACTGACAGCCTCATTACACAGAGATAAACATAGCACTTGCTTTCTGAAGATACTTTGCTGTAAATGTATTCTTGATAATGTATCTACCACGGTGAAGGGGGAAAAGCCGTCATTTTTCCCATAGTATGCACATGCACTGTGACTTGGTATAAACAAAACCTGCTTGGGCTTAAGGGTATATTGTGTTTTTAAAACATAATAGCGCAACAGAGTATATAATAGAGTATATAATATATATCCAAAAATTTGTATATACATATATGTATACATAATGTATAATATGTATATACATCACACACACAGACACACACAGTTCCAAGTACCATAGCCAGGGCTCAGAAATGTGGCACACGGTTGTTGCTTTTGCTCTCCATAACCAATCTTCCCTTTCCTGGGTAGCAGCATCTGGATTTTGCTTACGTGACCCACCCCTCTGCCACTCTGTACTACCATGGTGGATTTGTAAGTCAAGAGCTTCTCTCTCTAGTCCTGGACAAGGGGTGGACACATGACCTAAGCCAGTCCAGCTGAAAGATTCTCTCTGGAATATAGTCTTGAACAGAGACACAGCAAATAAAAAAGTTTAAGGGAAATTCACCCACTCTCGTGGCCCTGGTACAACCGTCTATTGCTTCCTTCTCTCTGGTTTGCAGAAATTAACACAGCTAACATTTCTGAATCTGGCTCTCAGCCTTTCCTTTAGGCATATGAAATATACCCCATCCTCCCATCCAGTACCTTCTTCTTTAATGTAGCCTGAGTTATTTATTATCATTTCCAATTACATAACAAGGGGAGGCGAAGATTCAGTGACTTCAAGACCAAGGACCTGTATTTCTTCCTCCTGTGAAAATCCATGGCTGGTAATCCAGGTTGTTGAGTGGCTCTCTTCCACTCAGTCATTCAGGGATCAAGGCTGAAGGCATCTCTACTGTTTTTAATCTATAACTTTGAATGTCTCTGTGCTCATGATCATCCCAGCCAAGGGGAAGAGGGAAGAGCAGGAGAGCAGAGCCAGGGATTTCCTCTTAAGCAGGCGAGGTGGGCATTGCATGCCCAAACTCACTCACCTTCCTAGTTTCAT